TGTCACAGCATAGCTAAGGCTACGAAGATACGCGAACAGTGAATACTTACATTCCGGAGAAGTTTTTTCTTTGCGAGGACATCCGGATAAGCTTCAAAGATATGAGATAGTACTTAAGTACATACACAACAATTCTATACCTTCTGTGGTGCGAATACAGACCCGTAGAGTGGCCACTTCCGTCGCAGCTTGGAGTCGGACATTTGCCATCTGAAAATATGCCCTTGAGTACAGAACCTTAGGGTCACGCGGAAACGGTCACTGAAGACCAACAAAGATACCTTTGTGAAACCCGTTTTCGCTGCTCGCTTTTTCCCTCAACGCAAAGCAGTGTTCGCCGTCAGCTTCGGAAGGCCGCCCGGACGGCGGAGTGGACGCCGACGTGGACATCGCAGCAGGCACGGAAGAAGACACGTTTTGGTCACGCGAGAGCGGGGAAACGGCGCTGAGCGACGACGGGCAGCTGCTTGGAGTGCAGCGCATAGCCGAGGGACAGCTGGTCGAAAACGACGGAGGCTGCGGTGCCGGTGGCTGGTCCGGCGACATGATGATGTCTTCTAGCCGTAAGGCTGTGGTCATGATTTCGACCGGTGATGACGTCATCTGAGTGACATAATCGGCAGTTGTTGAGGGCCCGCTGATGTCCAGGGGTGGCGTGATGCCCTGGGAGACACGAACAATGTGTTTCGCTGAAAGAAATCAACGGTCAGTGCAAGGCGAGAGAGAGAAAAATACAGTGGCCAATAGTCAAGAGGTATGCAATTTCACTGTACACGGTTAGAATTACGATGGAAGCTATGGATGCCCTGTGGCAGCGTACGCGAAATTCAGCTATTCCAAAAGAACAAGGAAGTCTGACTTTAATGCCGCCTAGCTTCTTAACAGGTGCCAAACCTAGGCGGTCCTCAATAAACTCGTTTCAAAAAATCACATGGTAGCGTATCCATGACCGATCGACCAACCGACCGCTCCCACGCTAAACGAGCCTTGCCGCAATAGTTATTTCATCATTAGACATTCATTTATTAAGACTGATTTCAATCAAAACAGAGCGATCGCTTGAATCAATTATGTGATTAAAGAAATAAATGTAAAACAGTACATGACGTCGTCAGCTATTTTCCTTAGTGAAATCGACCATCAACCGAGTCGTTCCCGTCAACAGTGACCGGCCATTGTTGAATATGCGTATGATCTTCAGGCTTAGCTGATGCTCAGGTACAATGCAACAGTTGGACGGCTGAACCGACTCGACCTACTTTATACTTCTCCAGTACTAGACGACGCATCGAATAACTGCTCCTTTTATTCGATAGCCACAGTTTTACTCAAGTTTTCCACCCCTCTCTGGTAGTGACAGGGGTAAAGTTTTGAATTCAAAGAACTGGGTACCCTAAACAGGTTATAGGTCCACACTCACAATCGCAGATCATGGAATCAGATTTCACTTAGATCATTCACTCTTCTTCCTGAAGCGGTATTGTGACGTAATGCAAGGTTCCTAAAAAGTCTGCCTCGATCTTCGGAGGTGCAGGGTTCGATTTTGCTCGAGGGCGAAGGCAATGCGGAAATCTTTGTTTTATTCATGAATTCCCTTACGAAAGGAATTTACCATACTTTGCTTGAGATCGGGGATGTTCAATCGGTGGAATGCCGAATCCAGAATAGAGTCGTACAAGTTTCGAGTTCCCCTCATAGTCACCTATCTTTCTTTATTCTGAGGTTGTCAAATGGGTACCACTCTTTGGCAAGAAACGGACGACTATACTTACAACATAGCTGGTGTGAACTCTGCCTTAGAAAGTCAAGACACTCGTAGCTGGTGAAATGGAAATGGACTTCAGCACCGCGCAGTCAACTTCATGAAAAAGAAGAGTGGCTGAATTGCCCCATCATGAACTTCTGAGGAATATCGACGTTCCAACAGTTACAATCTTTCTTTTTCTTCTTTCAAGAGGCTCATGAATGAATTCTACGAAATGGCAAGGTAACAGAAAACAACAGAAT